CCTGTGGCTTTGGAGGCTGTCCTAGAACTACCTCTTGTAGACCAGGCTGACCTTGAACTCAGAGATCCGCCTGCCTCTGCCTCCCGAGTGCTGGGATTAAAGGTGTGCGCCACCAACGCCCAGCTTCATTTTCTTTGTATAGGATTAATTCAAATTGCTAGAGATCTATGGGGGAACTTTTGTGTGTTTGTATGTGTTTGAGGAAGAATGGGGTAAGCATCCCCAGCTGCTTCAGGATCTAGACTTAGGTTGGCCTTCAGCCCAGAAAAAGCTGGCTGAAAATTGGTCTTCCCACCTGCTGAAGGACAATGTGGAGGAAGTTCCATACACAGTTGTCAACCTGTGTGGGGCACTTGAGTCTTGTAATTACGTGGGGCAGGGGCCTGGTGTAGTATGGCTTTGTGACTGCCTTGCTTTTGTACTTTCTTAGGCTTGTGATAGGCTTTTGGCTCATCGAGTCGAAACAAAAATGAAAGGAAATAAAGTGAATGAGGTTCTGAACAGATTGCATTTAGCTGTGCCAAACAAGAGAGATGATAAGGTAAGGTGGCCCTTTGCATGAGCCTTTGCCATTCACTGGTTGTTGCTGTACTTGGTCAGTGGGTGCTTGCCACACGTCTTTTCTTGGTGTTGAAGATTGTTTAACAAATGGACTTCACATAGAGATAGTCACATGGGCCTGAGGGAAAGAACCAAAGTAAAGAAAAGCTCTGCACCCTGCTTCTTACTGCCAGAACTATTTTGTTTGTTCCTTAGAAGTGGCTTGGATGTAAAACCACCACAACCCTTTTTTTTCAATTGAGCCAATGGAAGTTTTTGTTTTTGTTTTTTTAAGACAGGGTTTCTCTGTGGCTTTGGAAGCTGTCTTGGAACTAGCTCTTATAGACCAGGCTGGTCTCAAAATCACAGAGATCTGCCTGCCTCTGCCTCCTAGTGCTGGGACTAAAGGTGTGCACCACCACCTCCCAGTGTATCTTTGTCATTTTTTTAATACTTTTATTTTTCTGTTGTGTGTATGAGTGTCTTTCCTGTTTGGTAAGTATGTACACTATGTGTCCTGGTGTCTATGGAGGCCAAAAGAGGGCATGGGATCCACTGGAACTGGAGTCATAGACAGTGGTGACGCCACATGAGTGCTGGGAACTGAACTCAGGTTTGCAGGAGCAACAAGTGCTCTTAACTACTGAGCCATATTTTCAATGCCTCATTTTTTGTTTTGTTTTTTGAGACAGGGTTTCTCTGTTTAAACAGTCCTAGCTGTCCCAGAACTCATTCTGTAGGCCAGGCTGGCTTGGAACTCACAGAGATCCATTTGCCTCTGCCTCCAGAGTGCTGGGATTAAAGGTGTATACCACCACTGCCAGCCTCATTTTTTTTTTTTTTTTAACATCTCAAAGAAGCTACAAATTTTCAGACTATTGACACATAATACTTCTTTCATAGTTGTTAGGTTTTGAGTTCTACAGAGAACAAGCTATATTCCCTCCTAAAGTATGATTTTCCTGGTTTTGTTTTGCTTTAATTTCTCTTCTGGATAGAAGGTTTGTGTGCTAGATTTATTTTGTTTTGAGGGAGGTGTGGTTTATTGCTTGTGGGCCTAGTTTCATGGGGTAGTCATTGGTCTCAACTAACCAGTGAATTTAATGCCATTGTATTCTAAACATACTTGGATTTATGTCTTGGATTTATTTCATTGGTTGATCTATTTTCCTGTCTTACTCTCTTATATAATTTTTCTGGATACTTTTTATTTTTGCCCAATGAACTCTGCAATCAGTTTTGAGGGTTGTTTCATCTTCTTTCAGGCCCATTCTGGCCCTGAAACTCCCTCGCTAGAATGCACTTTGTTTCAGTTGGTTGGTGGTTTTGTGTTTCTCTTGTATACTGCCTTTGTTTTTAGTTTTTGCTTTCTTTTCAGTTTCTCTTATATTCTGGAAGGCATTTCACATTTTTTCAATAATGTGTTCTTAGGAGCGACCCCCTTTCATCCCAGAAGGAGTGGTAGCTCGAAGGAAAAGAATGGAGATTGTAGAGCCCAGGAAGAAGAGGGTAGGTCACTGTACCTCTTTGTCTGGGTTTCTTATTGGAGTGTAACAAAAGACTTGCCTGTGCAGCAGAAAAAGCAGCGTTGGGTGTTGGGTGTGTAACAGAGGCCTAGGGGCTTTAGTCACAAGAAGGAGGCTTGATCCAGTAGACTCAAACTGAGAGTGCTCAGGGTTTGGCCCTGTAAGGTTCACAGACAGAGTGGTGAATCCTTAACACACACACTCTTTACTCTATCACAGTGAGCAAGACATACTGCAGCCCTCCTGATCCACAAAGATACAGAAAGGCCAGAGGCTAGTTATTGGCAAGGAGGTAGCAAAGCATTTGGGAGCATAAAAGCTAAAGTAAACTTTTGGGGTTTTTTTGTTTTTGTTTGTTTTTTTCAGGAACGAGATCTTGAGCTGGAAATGGGAGATGATTATATTTTGGATCTTCAGAGTAAGTAATAAGAGTTTTTAATTGTTGTTGTTGTTTTGTTTTTTTGTTTGTTTGTTTGGGTTTTTTTTTTTGAAGATTACATAAAAGTTGCAGCACTGTGTAAAATGTCTTCCGTGCTATTTTTCCTTTGTTTGAGATGATAGAATTATTTTTTTAGTATTTGAAGATTGGACATACAGATATTGGTCAGTGTCAATTTTGTTAGTATAACTTAGGCAGTGTTGGACACAACTATTTTGTTACCCTGTAAAGTGATTTACTTGACATCCAGAATCATCAGTTTGGTGACACAGTACTTGAAGATACTAGAAACTGCCATAAACATAACCTCTTTTTTTTTTTTTTTTTTTTGAATGTTAGAATACTGGGACTTAATGAATTCATCCGAGAAATATGATAAGATACCAGAGATCTGGGAAGGCCATAATGTTGCTGATTATATCGATCCTGCTATCATGAAGGTCTGTATCCCGTTTTAATTACCCCTCGCTCAACATGACTAGAAGATTCAAACAAAACTTCGACTCTTACCCCTTTGCTCTCTCTTTGTTCTATGCCCTAGGCATCCTTCCACTATGTTCTCTCATTACTTGGAGACATCACTCTTCCACTTAGATGACACTATGCTTCCTTTGTCCTATGCAGTTCTAGTGATGCCCAGGCCTTTCACACTGGCCTGTAATGGGCTGTGCCATTTTGACTTGCATTGGTACTGTAGTGTGGTGATCCTGTCACTGGTTCAGTCTTGTCTCTATAACTGTTGTAGATAATTTCTTCATATTCTCAGAACTCCTGCTCTCTCCTTTTGCTAGTCCAGCAGGTGACATCAATTTCCCAAGAATACTGAGTCCATGGAGTGTGAACTCTGATTTCCAGATTCTGTGTTTCATTGACTCGTTTATGTTTAGATCTGAAAGAGGGGTTTAACTTCAGTGGGTCCTGCCTTTTCTTAGATACATTCTCCCAGAAAGCTGTGCCATCACTGACCTTTTTCCTACCTTGGTACCCAACTCTTACTTGCTTTTTCATTACATGTCAGTGTTTACACATGTACATCATTGGTTGGTTGGTTGGTTGGTTGGTTGATGTGTGTGCGCGCGCGCGTTCTTGTTTCTGGGGATCAACCCAGGGTCTTGTGCTTGTTAGGCCAGGACTTTGCCATATAGCTATACCCCCAACCCCACATATGTATTTAAATTTTCATTTTGTCTTATTTTGTGAACAGTGTGACTGTGTTGAGGATGTTATTTGAGAGGATGAATGTAAAGACAAAACAGAATCCGCAGAAAATAAAGCATGCAGTGTTCATGCTGTCTCTGTGGCCCTCATATATCTCCTTTCCTGTGAGATTGGCTATGTACAAGTGGGGCCCAGTTGTGGCTAGACCATGACACAGCATTGTCATATTTTCAAAGACTTAAGGAAACATGATCCTATAAATATGTTGCTACACTTAACTTCCTTGCAAGTTTTTCTTTATTAATTTTATGGTTCTTTTTTAAAGAAATTGGAAGAGTTAGAAAAAGAAGAAGAGCTAAGAACAGCTGCTGGGGAGTATGACAGTGACTCTGAAAGTGAAGATGAGGAAATGATGGAAATCCGACAGCTGGCAAAACAAATTAGAGAAAAAAAGAAGTTGAAAATTCTACAGTCCAAAGAAAAGAATACACAGGGACCCAGGATGCCCCGAACTGCTAAGAAGGTCAGTCTTAAGCATTGCAGAAGTAGGGCTGAGCTCTCATGCTGGGTCCTGTGTAAACGGCCACTCTTCCACCCCTTGGGGATGTCAGGTGGCACACTGAGGGACTGAGTTATACTAACTTACAAGATTCTTTGCCTTGAGCTGTTACATTGTGACTTTTGTATCTTTTCTTCGTGGACTGCAACTCCAAGTCAATCCCTGTTATAAACTGACTCATTGCTCCAGTTATGTAAGTTAAAACTAAACTTCTTGAAATTTGAAGATGTTTGTTATCCTCCCCCCCCCGACCCCTCCCCCCAACACACACACACACACGAGTTTCTCTGTGTACTCCATTTGTCCTGGAACAATTTGTAGACCAGGCTGGCCTTGAACTCACAGATATCTGTCTGCACCTGACTCCTAAGTGCTGGGATTAAAGGCATGCGCCACCACACCATGCTTAATTTTTAAATAGGGTCTCACGTTCTCTAGGCTAGCCTTAAACTTGCTTTGTTGCCAGGGAACTCCTGATTCCTACTCTGTAAGTGCCAGGATTAAAGCTGTGTGCCACCATACACAGTGCCAACATTATTTTATTGTTTAATTTCTCTATTGATTAAGATTTCTAAATCCACAGGGCAGTTTATCAGTCCCTGTTACTGGTGAATCTAGGGAGAACCTCTGTAGGTGTGAATGGAAGACATCAGATTCTTCCCATTTCTTGGCTTCATATTGGGATGTCATTGTCTCCTACTTCTGCTTTCGTCTAGATGACAGGCCCATATCACATGTCTACCCTTTTGACTATAGCTTCCCTGAAAGTTGGGGTAAAGGAGTGGCAGGCTCCCAAAAGAGACAAGGTTCTGGGAAGTTAAAATATAACAGGAGGGTAAGGAGTGGAATTTGGCACTGTAGGTACCATAATGAACTTTCTTGATTTTGGAAATACTGTTTTCCTGTGATTGAGTGTCTGCTAATAGTTGCAGACATGTTTGTGCTTCTTGTCAACCCGTCAAGCAATCAGTCCTTCAGAAGATGCTGTTGGGTATCCCCTAATTTAGTTCACTTCTCCCATCATCTGCCTCTACCTGGAGGTAACATCAAATCTGAGAAGCTGAAGGTTCCCTTCTGCCAGAGTAGTCCCACTTAAAAACATCAGCATAAGTCGGGCCTCCAGAGCTTGGCTCTCCAGCTACAAAGAACGATTCCTGTGACCTTCTCTTTGAGTTTGATTTATTTACTAGAGTACTTCACAAAATTGGGGAAAACACTACTTTTCTGTTCCAGTCCCCGAGGAAATGACAGGGTTTATGAAGATTGGGATCCAGTAAGTGTGGACAGAACATGTGTTTACCTGCCTGCTTACCTATCTGTATCAGAGTATCATCTGTATATTTTCCCCTTTTTTTTCTTTCAAAATTAAATTTCACCAGACATTTTACTTAAAACAAGTTATCTTTCTTCCTCACTTCAGGTTCAACGGGCAGACTTGGAGAATGAGATGCGTAGTCTTGGTGTTGACATGGATGATAAAGACAATGTAAGTCTGTGGAGGAGCAGCATGGTTTCAGATAGGATTTGTGCTTTTGTTGTTTTGAGGCATTGTCTCACTAGGTAGCCCAACCTATAGCTTCAAGCTCAGTATTTCCCTGCCTCTAGTTCTCCAGGGCTAGTAGTCAGGCATGTGCATACAGTCATGGGTTGCTTAACGATGTGGATATGTTCTGAGCAGTCTGTCACTAGGTGATTTTATTATGTGAGTGTCATAGCATGCACATAATATACATAAGCTTGGCTGGTGAATATGTCTACTACCTAGACTATTTGGGGTGAAGGGAGAACATTAACACAGAGAGAATCCCTGTTCATCCTCAGGTTCAGGGTGCAAGAACAGCAGCTCAAAAGCACCATCTGATTTACCAACAGCATGGGTGCTGAGCTGGACATTCTATTGTCCAGGAGGGACAATAGCCGTGTGCTGATGCTTTTGACCTTTAGTTTGCTTCACCCCAGACCCTGTGCCAGTAAATCTCAATAGATATTCCAAAGTCTTCCTTGCATGATAATAGTTCTTAAAATCTTAACTGTCTTCTCTTAGGAGTAATTTTGGTTGTTACGGGGTTTACTATTTGTGCGTTTCAGGCCCACTATGCAGTCCAGGCAAGAAGATCTCGGAGCGTCACTAGGAAAAGAAAACGAGAAGAATCTGTTCCACCCTCTTCTATAGCCCGGAGTCGGAGTTGTTCTCGAACTCCACGTGATGTTTCTGGTCTTCGGGATGTCAAGGTGAGTTTCCTTGATAGGGAACAGAAGAAAGGAGCCTTCAGGGTGTTTATCGTCCAAAACCTCCAGCAAACAGTTGTTCAGAGGAGCACGGTTGTGGAGTAAGAGCTTAGCTGTTCATTCCATTCTCTAGTTTGTTGGAGTCCTTTGGAGAGGCACTTGGGCAGGAAGCAGTTGGATCCCCCTTGATCCAAAACTCTTACTCTGGAGAATGGACAGAAACATGATCTGATATGAACAGTCTGAGCTTTGATCCCAGCTTTTTGGAAAATACTGGGATGTGGCTTCCATTTCCCCTGTGAGGAAGTGGCCCAGTGAAGCCTCGGTTCAGTTCCAGATGATACTGTGTGTCTTTTTAAGTTATTAGAATTTTTCCCCTTGAGGTGGTAACCTGGATCAGTATGTTATTATTTATAGTGTGTTTTGCAAAGATGTAATGGGTGTTTAAAATCTCAATGAAATTTCTTTTTTGAGGAAAACAATTTTATTTTCAACTTTAGGGTTTTGCAAGTTCAAATATAAGAGAAAACCTATGTAAACTGGCAAACTGTCTACTTAGTGAAAGGCTGAGTTTTTCTTTTTTATGTGTCATCTTCATCTGGAAGTCTAGAAAGTGTGTGCTGAGTTGAGACAGTGTTTTACTATGTTTCCCATGTTGGTCAGGCTTGCTCTGTAGTCCAAACTCACAGTTCTCCTTCCCCAGCTTCCATCTTCAGCAGGGATTACAAGTGTGCACTACTGAACTGTGGGTTTCGATAGTGGCATTGACAGTTAGGAGTCAGATGTGGCAGTATGCGCTCTCTTCAGTTTCAGTGTGTTACCCAGAAAGTCTGAGCAGATATTCTGTAGTCTTCTAATTCTAAAGGCCTCCAGTATATTTAGACAGTCATTGAGTTTCTGCAGACAGTGTGGTGGTCTGAGAGAAAACAGTGACTGAGACTCAACAGGGTCTTTATAGTTCGTATCTGCTGTCATAAAATGTTTCTCAGGTAATTACAATGCAGGATAGCAATGTGGTTTTCATGAATATGTATTCTCCTGTATAGATGGTGAAGAAAGCCAAGACTATGATGAAGAAAGCCCAGAAGAAGATGAATCGCTTGGGGAAGAAAGGGGAAGCAGATAGGCATGTGTTTGATATGAAGCCCAAGCACTTGCTCTCTGGGAAGAGGAAAGCTGGTAAAAAGGACAGGAGATAGTGTTCTCTTCAGTTGGTGTGCTTTGACTGGACTCTTACTGTTTATTTCTGGGTATGGTATGATGCCCTTTATATAACTTGGAATCACCATCTGTTAACTTGGAAGAGACAATGGAAATGACTTAAAAATACTTGTTGCTTTGCTGAAAACTGATAAACCTGATTAGGCATGCCGAGTTGTGCTCACTGCATAATACAGATGTCTAAGTACAGAGCATTCTGTTCTTAATGATGTGATAGTTTCACAGCTGCAGGACTAATTTTGTTGGAAAGTTTTATTGGTGGCTGGGCAGTGGTGGTACATGTCTTTAATCCCAGCACTTGGAAGGCAGGGGCAGGTAGATCTCTTGAATTCGAAACCAGTCCGAGCTACAGAGCAGGTTCCAGAACAGCCAGCTCTACACATAGAAACCCTTTTTCAAAAAGCAAAAAAAAAAAAAAAAAAAAGTAAAGATTTATTGGTATAAGTAGGCTGCTTTTGGTGGAGAAAAACTTTATTTTGTAGTGGAACATGGCTTTGTTATCCAAAGTACGTATTTTTTGTGAAGAAAACATCCCCATTGGGAAGTATAACCTTTCTAAGGACCTGGGTACAGGCACATTTAGGAGTGTGTCAGAACTTAAATTACTCTCTTAAATTATTTTCCAGACCTTCAGTACAATGTATCATTGTAATTTCAACCATTTTATTCAAAATAAACCTCCAGCAAAAATGTAGTTTTGATTACTTAAGTATTGTTTGATTTAATTACAAGTTGCTATGGTGGCCAAAGACAAAAAGATAGAACTTTGCAAAAATACTTTTTCAGGGAAATAAATGCCTGGATTATTGCAACAATTAAATGTGATGTCTTCTTTTATGAACCATTGCTGAATTAAGAAACAATTCCATTTACAAGAAAGAATGGAAACTTAGGAATAAGCTGAAAACAAAAGATTGGTGTTCTGAAACTTACAAAAAATATTAATGAGAGGAATCAGTACAGCTGGAACTACATCACTTGTTCACACAATAGAAGACAGTCTTCAAAATGTCTGTACTTTCTGTCAGAGCAACAGCTTCAATTCAGACCTCTGTCAAAACCCAGTGACATGTTATACACATTCAAAGAAACTCCTAAAATTATATGGAAATAATCTATTGAGACTTTTTTTAAAGTAGCTTTTTAATGTGTTCCTTGATGCAATTCAACATCTTGATCATTTTTTGAATGTCTAGATGGGGAGTGACTGTCTTAAAGTCTATAACCATTGATGTGCCTAATAACTTGATTACATTATGGTAGAAGTTCTAGAAGATGTTCTTTTACTTAAAGGATCTTTTCTTAAAGGATCTTTTTTCTTTACTTATTTTTCTGAGATAGTGAGGAAGGGAAGAGAACCAGGAACAATTAAAGGGAAAAGAAAAACAAGTGTAACCTAGAGTGTAGTTTGTATCTACTCTGGCAAAAGTTAGGAAAATTCTGCTTGAATTACGAAACCAGGATCGTTGACATACATAATACTGTTTTTTTCTTTTTTAAAGACATCTCTAAACAATACTGTTGAAAACAAGAGTTAAGCTTATTTAGGACCAGAACACTGTTAAGTTTAACATTATTAACAATCTGCTCTCATCACTGTTAGAATGGGCAGTGGATGCTGATTGGTAGGCACTGAGTTATCTTTCTGCTGACCAGCTCCTTTAGTAGTGCTGGTTACTAGCAGGGATTCAACAATAACCCCTCTAGAGATACTCTTAATAGTCAAAACAAGAAAAATGTTAGGACTCATTCTGATTTGTAAACACACCACAAAGTAATGATGATGACATTGTGATAGTCATAAAGACAGCCATGCGGACTGATGGTACAAGGTAGACAACTCTGAAATAAAACCTTTTAAATATAGACAAATTATCCTAAACAATGTACCAGAACTTACAATTGAGAAAAAGGACTGTCTCCAACCAGCCTCTTTGGGAAAATGTTGATATGTGTAGGCTAAAGTCAAGCTCTACCGTGTACCACACTAGAAACATACACTTTTAAAAAAAGGCTAAGTATAAGACCCCCAAACTACAAAGCCTCAAAGAAAATGGTAAAACCATCTTAAGATTAGATTCGAGGGCCTGGAGAGATGGCTCAGAGGTTAAGAGCACCGACTGCTCTTCCAGAGGTCCTGAGTTCAATTCCCAGCAACCACATGGTGGCTCACAACCATCTGTAGTGAGATCTGGTGCCCTCTTCTGGTGTGCAGATATACATGGAAGCAGAATGTTGTATACATAATAAATAAATAAAATCTTTTTTTTAAAAAAAGGTTAGATTAGACAGTTTCTTGGATATGACATCAAAGGTTTAGGCAACAAAGGTTAAAGTAGACAAATAGGACTACATCAAAATCCTTTTGCATCAAAGGAGACTACAGAATGAAAGAAAAGATTTGCAGGTGGCATATAATCAGGGATATGAGTGATACATGGTTTGTAAAATTCAACGGTGATCAACTCAAACACTGGCAAGTATCTGGATGTATATTTCTCCAAACAAGATAGTCAAATGTTCAGAGAAGTACATGAGAAAGAAGATGTTCAGTATCACCTAATCATTAGGGAAATACAAATACAAACCAGTGAGAAAACACTACTGCACACCCATTGGCCAGATCAAACAGTGGCGGGAAGTGGGTGAGCATGGGAGTCAATGTAAACCCTTCCCTTGCAGTGCTCCTGTTAGGTATTTGGTAGAGTGCTTGCCAAACATCTAACATGCATGGAATAGAGAAAGAACACAGATGGCTGTGAGAGACCTCATCATGCCTTGCTGCTTGGCCCGTTTGGTACTCAGGTGATCCTTGCTTGAGGAAAATCACTGATTATATTTTGAAAAGCTGTCTTCCTCATTTTTACTATTTTTTTCTAAAGATACCAGTCTTGTTTGTAAGAATGATAATTTCATGTTTATTCTATTCCTGAGATAATACATAAAAAGAAATGTTTATGATCAGAAAATCGATTTTTTTGTTTTTTGAGACAGGGTTTCTCTGTGAAACAGTCCTGGCTGTCCTGGAACTCACAGAGATCTGCCTGCTTTGCCACCGCCTGGCCAGAAAAATCTATTTTTTTACTAGGCTATTTTGTTCACTAGGTCTAGATTTGTTCTCTAGGTCTTTCTGTTATCATGCCACTAATACAGTGATCTGAAGTAGGGTCTATTTCCATCAAAGTAAAATTGTTCACAATGGGGTGGTGTGATGGCTATTCTTGGTTGTCAAATTGACTCCATTTGGAATTAACTAAAACACAAAAATGGAGAGCACATCTGTGAGGGATTTTTGCTTAATTTGAAGTGGGAAGAGCTATGTCTCTTTGGGATCTTTGAGGTTGGGGAGATAACAGCTTTAATCCAGATCTTTTGAGGTGGGAAGCACACCTCTAATTTGGGCCACACCTTCTGCTGGAAGCCTATATAAGGACTTGGAAGAAGGAGGTTCTGCTTTTGGCCTGCTTGTTCTCACCTAGTAGCAAGTCCATTCCTTCACTGGAATTAGAGCCTACTTATTTGGGATTCCAGCATACACTGAAAATCAGCTGAAACATTCAGCCTCATGGACTAAGCAATTTCTGGATAATGGCATGTGCCTTTAAGTCCAGCACCTGAGAGGCAGAGGCACATGGATCTCTGAGTGGGAGGCTAGCCTGGTCTACAGAATGAGTTCTAGGACAGCCAGAGAGGTACATAGTGAGGCTGTATCTTGGGGCAAAAAAAAAAAAAGGAAATTATCTAATATAACTACAGACAGCAAGGAGTTTGAAATAGAAGTTCTTCATTATGCAAATAATGAAAAGAAATCAGGTAAATTATTCTTTTCCAAATTTTCTGATGACTGAATTTAATACAATTTGGATAATAAAGATTATGAGTTTTACTCATTATTGATATTTTGAAATTTTATGTGCATGAGTTATTTGCATTTGTCTGTGTATACACCACTTTGTGCATGCCAGTACCCACTGATGTCACAAGAGTATTCTTTGGAACTGAAGTTATGAATAGTTGTGAGTCACAATGTGGATGCTGGCAATGGAACCCTGTTCTCTGCAAGAGCAGCAAGTACTTTTAACTGCTGAGTCATCTCAACCCCAATCCCTGCTTTGAACATTACTTTTCTTATTCCTCACAGTTCATATATCCTGTCAGGCTCAATGAATGGAGACACATCCTCTGAAGAAGGCCATCAAAGAAACAGGAAGCCAATCTCATGGCCTCCCCACATGTCATCAGAAGGACTCTTGTGGTAGATTCCGTTCATAATTATGTCCTTCATGAAAATCTGTCAAAGTTGATACAGTATTAGTTCAATAATAGAGAAAATGAGAATTAAGATAGAAAACAGTTCATTCCTTCTCACAGAGTGCCACACAAGCACTTTAGCTTTAATTAGATGTTAGGTAGATCATATTGAAGGCTGCACAATTCCTGGCCACGGTGTTGTCATTTTTCATTCCCAATGAAGACCACATGTATACAGGACATGAGGCTAAACAGAATGGAAATGAGAAACACTTGAGCTCCAATACAGTGATTAGTTTCACAGCCTGTCCTGTGGACCAGGCTTGAGACACTTCCACAGGAAAGCTGTTTCTTATGCAAGGCAGAAGCATGTTAGCCCAGCAGCCACTCCCAAGTCATAGCATTTTGATGGATGAAATTGACAGCACTGTCATGTGACACTATAACTATTAAACAGATCCCTGAGCACATGAAAACCTTCATTGAGTCCCATAATGGAGTGAGTGAGTACCACCTGGTCCTGGGAGATGCCCAGCTCAGCCTGCAGACATCTAAGGGCTGCCCTCCTCCCAAGGCATCTTTCTCTTCCAGCTCATCGGGCATGTATAAAGGGTGATTAGAAAAGGAGTCTGTAAAGTGTCCTGGGGGAAAATGTACAGCATGCTACTTTATTGAGAGTGGTGCCCTTTTACTAAATAGAGGGCCCCTTCCTGGCCATATTTAGTGTATAAAGTAGATTCAATTCTAACTTATCAGTATCAGTTTGTTAAATATTAAAATATAAAATTCCACAACTTGATTCTGGTTGCAAAATGCTTGTAATTTAATGTCCTTGTACTTCAGTTGGAGTGGGACTGATGAGCTGGGGAGGAGGGTGGCTGCTCTGATAGGTTTGCCTACTATCATCCTTCTCAGTCTCCCAGACCCTAAGTTGGAATCCCTGAATTTCACCTGGGTGGCTCACCGGGAAACATGTACTTGGCATCTGCTCTCTGCTGGACCAAGAGCTGGTTTTTGTGTTGAAGAGGACCACACTGAAGCCTCGGTGTAACAGGCCTGCAAAGTGTGTGTATGAGTCAGGGCCACACTGAAGTCAACACGGAGTCTGCATAAGCATTCCCTTCTCTTGTTTTTCATTCTCGTCCAGCTCAGGATGGTGGCACAAAGAGTAGCTGGTGCTCCTTGCTAAGATAGAATCTACACCAGTTGCTTAGCATTCGTGATATTTAGTATTCATTTACCCATGTAATACTGCAATTTTCCTCCCCTTGGGAACATAAAAACCAGAGAGCCAAGAAGTAAATAAAGTAAGCCATACTAGCTAACACAATTCTAAGTCTTAGACTCTGTGTGATTCTGAACCTATGATCTTGAAACAGTTGTAGTTATCTTTGGCACCCTGTGCAGGAGTATGGATGACCCAGTGGCAAAGAGTGACTGCTTATGCCCTGGAAGTTGTGACACATGAGACACTGAGAGTGCTAACAATGAAGTGCCTAACTGACCACCTTTTCCTGGAGACTAGGTATCACTATATAGACCTGACAGGCCACTACTGGCTATGCAGAA